AAGAGCAACTGCAAGGTGTCATGGGTTGTAAGACTGTGAAATATAAGACCTATCTCACTTTTAAAGAAGTTAGAATAAGAAAGTGTATGCACATTAGAATGAATAAGATAATATGTCATTTTCATTTTACAGTTGAGAGATAGGAGGCAAAAGAGGTTAAAATTTCCAAAGTTACATGACTGGATTCAAATCCAGGTAATTTGGCTCTAGAGTCCATGCTCTTAACCTCCATTTTTTTTTCCTGTCTTTCAACAATACGTTAGAGCTGAGCCCATGCTAACATGCAGATGGACTGTCCAAGACCCAGTTACCCATCCCTTCTTTGTAGCATCTGTGCCAGAATCAGTGGCACCCAGATCTTTCTGAAGGGAGAAGTGTCTATGTCATTAACCTTCTGCCTCTAGGGCTGTGAGGATTGTTATGCTAATGTATGTGAAGTAATGCATGTTATGAGGAGGCATCTGACTTGGGCTTCTGGCCCATTTTTAGCATCAACAAGCTGGAGTAATTATTGGAACTATTATGCACAAAATGTTGCTTGAGTGCCCCAAATGTCAAATTCTGCACTGTGTGTTCTTACTGTTTCCCTCTGTTCTAAAGTGCTGACAAAAAATAATTTGTTGCCTGGGTTGTAGGTTCCTTCCCTGCTCAGGGTGTATAAGGGAAGCAACTGATTGATAGTTCTCCATTATAATGATGCTTCTCTCTCTTTCTCTCTCCCTTTTCTCTCTCTAGGATCAATAAACATATCCTCAGGTGAGGATTAAAATAATAATAATAATTTGTTCTTTCCATACTTGATGAGTAGTCACTTCTTTCTGAAAAACAGGCCAGGGAACAATACTTACGACTTGATTGACAAAAAATAAGAAATAAAAATAATTTTTTTATATGTAGATAGTCCTATATGAAAACGCATCAGCAGCTGAATGTTAACATTAAGTGACCTTCACTTAGTGGTGGGACAGCCACATATGGGACTGCAGGATGGGTTTGAGGTTTGCTATGGAATAGGATTATTTTCTGCTGAACGATGGAGTAGTTCCATTAATTGCAGGATCTGACTATCTGGACTGCAAGATAAGGAGACTGCCACCACCAACGCCCTGCCCAAACCCTGAAAAATCCTTATTATCACTTTGAAGACTTGCCTGTTTCCTGACTCCTTTTATTTCTTTGCTGCTTCCTTACTCTTTAGAATTCTGGTCTCCTCTAACCCAGACCAGGCTGGTCACTGTGGCCAATTTAGGATAAATACTACATAGCCTTCTAATTTGCTCAAAGTTTCCCCAACTAACCTTTCTATTTTATTGTTGGAACATGGGTTCGTGTTTTGCTGCCAGGTCCATGAGGTGGTACGGGAGGTGACTTCTCAACCAAGGAAGCTTGTGTCACTCATCACATATTTCTGTATCGTTTGTTGTATCCTCCTTTGCCAGCGCTCCTTTCTCCCAGCCTGCTTACTGTAGTCTAACATGGACAAGCTGCTCAGCTGTAGAAAGAAACCATGCTATGGTGGACATAAATGTTTTGGCCCAGACTGATTACAATTGAAGTAATTATAAGTGAAAATTTAAGCCTGTTGGTTTAGCATTGCTTTAGGTGCTTCTAATTGTTGTGTTACATTTCTAGTCTTGAACTGTTTGATCATCTGATTAGTTGATTTGGACTGTTTTGAACTAGTAAAAACTATTTTATAGGTGACTTGAAGTAGTTATAAGCAGTTTGGTAAAATTAGAGCAAGTAGGACCTGGTTGGAGATAGATTTAATTGGTCACTAGCTTGATTCAGTAAAATATACTCTGAATCAATGAAACCTTCTGTGAGCCAGTCAGGACCTGCTTGTCCAGGTCTAAACTTATTAGAGTGAGCTAAAACTAGCCTGAAGCAATTTAAGCTATTACAACCAGACCCAAATAATTTTGATTAAATATAGCTGGTTTTAGCCAGAGTGGTTTTAGATCAGTCAGAGATGGTTTTATAGGTAGAACCTTTATTAACTCAACTCTTTCACTCTGAACTAGTAAGAACCATTCAAATTATTTTGAACCAGTGTGAGCTTGTTAAAACAGACTACTGTGTTTTATACAAATTTGAATTTGTTTTTAAGCTGGTCATAACTCTTTTAAAATCAACGTATCTAGTTAAAATGAATTGAAACTGGTTTGAACCAGCCAAAAAAGAATTAGTTTGAAAGTGACATTTGTTGATTTAGCAAACTATTCTGAACCAGTCAGCAGTCTTTTGTGCTATAAATGTGTTTTAAGGTTCCCAGTGACAATTTCAGAAATTGTCCTAGGTCTTCAGAGCCCATCTGATATGTCCATAATGAGGAGAAAGGAGTGAGCTAACATGACCCGAGTACCCAGGATGTGCCAAGCATTGTGCCTGGCGCTCTGCAAAGAGTAGTGCATTTAATCCTTAGAACAATGCTGTGAAGTAGTGTAGGTTATCTTTTTCATGGAATGGAAACATGAAATACAAGGCTTAAAGACATCTGAGTAGCTGGTATGTGGGAAACATGGGATTCAACCCATGTTTGACTTTAGAGGTCATGTGTTAAATTGCCTTGTATGATATCATGCCTAGTCACTTTTAAGCCCAACATGCATTTGTAAAAATGTGAGTAGCAGACCCAAAGTTTGGGCTAGAATGGACACTGGACTTGGAGTTAGGAGGCCTATGTTCTTGATTGTGCAAAAGAGTTAACCTTTCTGGATTCTGTTTTATCCTTTAGAAGACTGAACCCAGAGAATGAAAAGTCTGAGTGTTTATTTTCAGATCAGCAAGGCAGATCATGGTCTAAAGGGGCAGTCTGAAGAGTGCAAACTATGATTTATATTAATGGTATAGCTATACCTTCAGTTATAATATTTGATTTGTTAATACTTACTTTATGATGGCTTGGTTTGGGAACAAACTCTGTGTATTGCTATCAACATGAATAGAAAACAAAATCCACAAAGATATTTTGTACACTTAGATGTGTGATTCTTCTCCCACAATAACTAAACACATTAAATTTCAGTGCAACTGAGGTAGTTTCATCTGTTTTTAAATTCCACTCAGATGTATTTAGGGAATTGTAGGATAGTGATGCCATTGGTGACAGCATTTTCCCTTGTACCTTAAATGATATAAAAACATAGTTCTAGAAATGACCAACATTTTTCAAATGAAACATAAAGAGGAAATAAGGCAGCCACAAGTGCCTTCTTGCATCAATGTCATTATAGAATTTGGAGTTGCTTTCTGCTTCCTCATTCATTTTGAGGGGAACACCCCAAATGATTAAATATTATCTGGACCTGCTTTTCAATTCTTTGCTCCTGTTTCTGAATAAGTTGGCGCCAAGGGAGATGCTGTGATATGACATACTAGAAATATTTATTTGTACCCAAGTGGTCATCTTCTGGAGGAGAATTCTATTATATACCATGAATACTGGCAACCTACCCCTGTGAATACAGAAGCTATAACACAGGAAAGCCATCATTGTGAAGTATCATTCTTTATAGTGTGCAAATAGAATTACAAATGTTTGTAGAGGCTCTGCCCTTATCGACTGACCTGCCGTATCTGAATGTGAGGTCACAGATCGGCACTCAGGCACTCTGAGGAAGTACATTGCAGTGGCTTTTGGGTCTCAGCAATCAGGATTTTTGAGCATAAAGTGAGTCACCAAATTGAGGATGGGGTTGGGGATGCAACCTTCAAAACCGATGAATGTCTTTGAACAGAGTTTTATTAATTTTATGGATCTGTGGAAATAATCCTATAGAATGTACTAAGAATTGTGGTAGAGTTGCTGGGTACGGGGCTGGGTGAGGAAGGAACAATGAGAGGAAAATCAGCAGCGTCTAATGTAAGGAATCTGATGTGTGTGGATTGGTGAATATGTACATTTGAAAGGGCAAGTAGAGTTGTTGTCAGTGGTAATGAGATAGCTGATTAGTTTTCTAATTTTCAGGAGGATTTACTGGTATTAGAAATGGAAGGATAAAAAAGAAGACTTCCCTAGAGACAGGCTGCATTTTTAGTCAGACAGATTTTGAATCTGTTTAGAGGATAATAAAAAAAATTATGAAAAGTACTTATTGCAAAGGATTAGGGAAAAAAGCATGGTTAGGTCTTGCTGATAAAAACAAGAATTTTTCTTCTCTAAAGTGGACTTCTGTGTTAGTCAACACTGAAGAGCTTAATTGGTAGCATTTCTGGTTATAATACCAAGACAGGTATAGGTAAAGGAGCCTGCGCAGGCATTGTGGAGCTATGGTCTCTGTGTAGTGATTGCTCAAATTTGGAACTGAGCCCCCAGGTGAGCCTTGATAGGCCAGAAGAGTCTGATTTAATGCGTAGCATATAAATAACAACAACAACAACAACAACAACAACAATAACAACATAAAGAAGCTGCCAGCCAAATTTTACTTGTTAATTTACCATTACCTTTTAAGGAATTATAATGATACGTGAAAATGAATAGTATAAATGAAATTGCCTAGATGTCCAAGTAAAAAGAGAGAAAAGCCAAGGATCCAACACTAGGAGACTTTGAAAAAGAAGTGGAGGAGGCTCATGAGGAATTGGAACCATTTGTGCTCTAAGAATTATTATTATTCCTGTAACATTATCCTTTCTCTTTTGTTTCTTTGTTAATTTTTGTTCTGTATGATCTGCATATAAGACTTAATGATCATTACCTTCTTGATTATCATTCCCATTTTAAATTTTTGCCTTAACAGTACCATAATATGTGTGTTAAATTTAAACTAAAATGTTAGTTATTTACTATTTGAGTAGCATCTCTTCTAGCAAATTATTAGGACCTTGAGGGCAGTGAATAATGCCTACTCCTCGCCTCACAGAACCCCTAGACACATAGGTGTTACATAGAAGTACTTGTTGACCTGGATATTAAAGGATGACTTTATTCATGGAGGATTCTAATATTTTCTAATGTATTTTTAGTTAATGTACATTTGTTTGTTTTTTTGCAGGTGAACCGCTGAGTTCTTCATTATGTCTGATGGAGACTATGATTACCTCATCAAATTTTTAGCTTTAGGAGACTCTGGAGTCGGGAAGACCAGTGTACTTTACCAGTATACAGATGGTAAATTTAACTCCAAATTTATCACAACAGTGGGCATTGATTTCAGGGAAAAGAGAGTGGTAAGTTCCATATCTTTCTATACAAGAATGTAATCTCTGAGTCCATGTTTACCTGTCTGTTTAGTTTACTTTGTAGGAACTAGGAGGACATAGGTTGTAATCTAAAATTAAAGGGTACATATGAAAGTATTTTATATTCATCTGGGCAGTGTGATTTAAACGGCTGTGCTGAGGGACACTTGCTATACAACCAAGCAGACAATGTAAAAGTGAGATTCTTTTTAATTTTCCCTTGATACCCTTTTGGCTTGTATCTTCCCTTTGAACTCCACAGAGTTATTTGTCTACCTTTGTTATGAAACCTATAGGCCATCCTGCCCCTTGTACCCCTGTTTGGTCAGCTATTTCTTCTACCTTTGATATCATTCTTTTCTTTTAAAGATTTTATTTTTTTTTTTATTTTTAGAGAGGAGGAGGGAGGAAGAAAGAGAGGGAGAGAATTAACAACGTGTGGTTGCATTTCACATACCCCCTACTGGGGACCAGGCCTGCAACTCAGTCATGTGCCCTGCACTGGGGATCAAACTGTCAACCCTTTGGTCTCCAGGTCAGCGCTGAATCCACTGAGCCACACCAGCCACGGAGTCATTCTTAATGACTTTTCTCTTAACTAAAACCTCAGCAACCCCACATGGGAATAGGAGTGGGGATGCTGGTAGTGTATGTTCGTCTAGAAAGTAACAAAGGCAAAAAAAGTTGTGCAGAATGATGAGGGAAGGGGCTTTTTTTTTTAAAGGACCAAAAGATTAAAAAAATATTGGTGGAGGAAAATGAAGCAAGTCACCATGCCACAGTTGCAGAGAAATGAAGATGGCTTTTTCCATGAACTACATTTCTTCCTAAAAGCTGACTGTTACCATGAAGCAGGTCAATAAGTGGTCAGGAGATCAGTGACAAGACCCTTCCATGGAACATGTTCTATCTGGGAAACATACAGGGTCTCTCTCTTCCAGGACAGAAGCATTCATTCTTTCTAGGTCTATTCTTTCATTATTAGAGAGGCTTATAGAGACTCAGACCCACTGAGTAAAATTAAGATCTTTGTGTAAGTTTCAGTATTGACATATAATTGGTATAATTAATATATGTATGTGATTATATTTACTTATTCATTTCCATTTTATAACCCTGTTTATAAAAAAATAGTTTTTTTGAGTTAATTCACATAACATAACATTCACCCATTTAAAGTGTATAATTCAGTGGCTTTTAGTTTTTAATATAACTTACAGTTGTGCAACCATCACCACTATTTAAGTTTTGAATACTTCATCACCCCAGAGAGAAACCTCAAACCCCTGCAGTCATTCCTCATTTTCCCTCACCCCAGCCACTAATCCACTCTCTCTGAATTTGCCTATTCTGCACATATATAAATGGAATCATACAATATGTGGCCTTTTGTGTCTGGCTTCTTTCACTTAGCATAAGATTTTCAAGGATCATCCATGTTATGGCATGTATCAGAACTCCATTCCCTCTTATGATCAAATAATATTTCATTGTATTGCTCTACCGCATTTTGTTTACTCATTTATCCATTGGTGGACATTTGAGTTGTTTCACATTTTAGCTATTATGCATAATGCTTCTATTAACATTCATATACATTTGTGTGTGTGTGAACTTACATTTTCAAATCTTGTGTGTAGACTTATGTTTATGTTTTCAAATCTCTCGTGTATGTGCTTAGGAACTTCCAAATTTTTCCAAAGATGCTGCATCATTTTACATTTCCAGCAGTGTATGAGGGTCCCAATTTCTCCATATCCTCACCAATTCTTGCTAGGGTCTATTTGATGATGGCCATTCTAGTAGGTGTGAAGTGATACCTCATTGTAGGTTTACTTAAATTTCCGTCATGATGAATGTTGTTGAGCAATCATCTTTTCTTGTGAGTATTGTCTATTTGTATATCATCTTTGGAGACATGTCTAATCAGATCCTTTGTCTATTTTGAAGTTGGTTGTCTTTTTATTAAATTTTAAGAATTTTTAATATATTCTAGATGAGTGTTCTTATTAGATATATGACATGCAAATAGTTTTAGCTCTGACATTTAGGTCTATGATCCATTTTGAGCTGATTTTTGTGTTTGGCAAGAGTAGGGGTCCAACTTCATTCTTTTGCATGTGGATAGCCTATTGTCCCAGCACCACTTGTTGAGAAGACTAATTTTTCTCCCATTGAATTATCTTGGAATTCTTATTGAAAATCAGTTGACCATGAGTGTAGGGTTTATTTTTGAACTCTCAATTCTATTCCACTTTTCTATATATCAATCCTTATGCCAGTACTATACTCATACTAGCTTAATGACTGTACCTTTGTAATAAGTTTTGAAATTGGGAAGAATGAGATCTCACACTTTGTCCTGCTTTTTCAAGATTGTTTTGGATTCCTTCCAATCCCATATGAATTTTAAGGTCAGTTTGTCAATTTCTACAAAGAAACTAGTTGAGTTTTTGATAGGGATTGCACTGAATCGGTAGATCAATTTGGGGAATATTAGTATCTTAACAATATTGTCTTCTGATACATGAAAGTGGGATATCTTTCCTTTTATTTAGATCTTTAATTTCTTTCAACACTGTTTTGTAGCTTTCAGAGTATAAGTGTTATATTTCTTCAGTTAAGTTTATTTGTATCTTAATATTTTTATACTATTGTAAATTCAATTGTTTTCTTAATTTCATTTCTGAATTGTTCATTGCCAACGTATAGAAATACGATCTGTTTTGTAAATTAGTCTTGCATACTGGAAACTTGCTGAACTTGTTTATTCATTCTGTGTTTGTGTGTGTGTGTGTGTGTGTGTGTGTGTGTGTGTGTGTGTGTATTTATTCCTTAGGATTTTCTATACACATCTTTTGTTTTACTTCTTCCTTTCCAATTTGGATATGCATTATTTTTTTTCTTGCCTAATTGCCCTGGAGAGAACTTTCAGTAGTATGTTGAATGGAAGTGATGAAAGAGGATATTTTTGTCTTGTTTTTGAACTTAAGGAGAAAGCATTCAAACATTCACCATTAAGTATAATATAAACTGCATTTCTCATAGCTGCTGTTTTTCAGGTTGAGGATGTTGCATTCTATTCCTAATTTGTTCAGTATTCTTTCCTTTTTAAAAATTTTTTTAAAATCATGTTTATTCTATTATAGTTGTTTCAGTTTTTCCCCCTTTAGCCCCCTCCACGGATCCCACCCACACTCCCCACTCCCACAGTCAGTTCCCACTCTGTTGTCCATGTCCATGGGTCATTCATACATATTCTCTGTCTAGTCCCTTCCCCTTATTTCCACTATTGTCCTCTTTCCCCATCCCCTCTGGTCACTTTCAGTCTGTTCCATGTTTCCATGACTGTGGTTTATTTTGTTTGTTAGTTTATTTTGTTGAATAGAGTCCACTTATAGGTGATATCATATGATATTTGTCTTTTATCAACCAGCTTATTTCACTTAGCTTAATATTCTCCATTTCCATCCATGTTGTTGGAAAAGGTAGGAGTTCTATCTCTCTCTTTCTTTCATGCAGATTGATTTTACTTATTTTTTTAAATGTCGAAGTTAATTATAAAATACTAAAAAATTTAAAACTGTTATAAAATCTTAGCAATTAAACCAACATGACAGCGGCACAGAAATAATCAAGTAGGTTAATGAAATATAATGAGCATTCTAGAGACAAATGTGTATATCTAACAATGTAATATATGATTAAGTTGATATTTCAAGTCAATGGGTAAAATAAGGCTTATTCAACAAATAAGGTACACAAACCACTATTACTTGAAATAAAGCAAATATAGAGCCCTATTTCACACATTATACAAGAAATATTCAGGTGAGTTAAAAATCAATATGTAGAATCTAAGGAGTTTTGGGAGAAAATGCAAACTAATATTTTTCTTACCCTGAAGTAAAATATTCAAACCCAGAAGCTATAAAGTAAAATATTGACAATGTGACTATGTTAAACATTTAAGACTATATAGTAATATACATAAAAAAAGTTAAAGGACAATTAATAGATTAGGAAAGTATTTGCAACATATCTAAAAAAGGGTTAATGGTTTTTTTCCTAAGGGAAAAAATTCTACAAACATTTAATCAAAAGATGGATAAAGAACACCAGTCATTTAAAGATTTTTAAAAATAATAGAAATAGGTAAGAAATATACAAAAAGAGGTCTAGTTTCAACAAATAATAAAGTAACATATAAAAGAACACATCATTGTCACAATCAGATTAATACATATTAAAAAATATTGGTAATATCAAGTACTGGCAACTGTGAAAGGAACTGGGTAATCATAGACTCTTTTTATTCATCTTAAAGCAGTTCCTTTAGTATACTTTGCAGTGCTGGTTTGGTGGAGATGTATTCTTTTAGCCTTCTTTTGTCTGGGAAATTCCTTATTTCCCCTTCCATTTTAATTGAGGGCCTTGCTGGGTAGAGCAGTCTTGGTTGCAGGCCTTTGCTTTTCATTACTTGGAATATTTCTTGCCATTCCCTTTTAGCTTGCAGTGTTTCTGTTGAGAAGTCAGCTGCTAACCGTATCGGGGCTCCCTTATATGTTACTACCTGTTTCTCCCTTGCTGCCTTTAGGATTCTCTGTTTGTCTTTGATATTTGCCATTTTAATGATGATGCATCTTGTAGTGGGCCTCATTGGGTTCCTCTTGAATGGGGCCCTATGTCCTTCCTGGACTTGTGTGACTTTTTCTCTCCTCCATTTAGGGAAGTTTTCCATCATTACTTTTTCGAACAGGTTCTCTATCCCTTCCTCATCCTCTTCTCCTTCTGGTATCCCTATTATACAGATATTATTACATTTCAGGTTGTCCTGCATTTCCCTAAATGCCTCTTCATTCTTTCTGAGTCTTTTTTCAATTTCTTGCTCTTTCTGGGAGCTTTTTTCCACCTTGTCCTCCAGCTTGCTGATTCGATCCTCAGCTTCATCTAGCCTACTTTTGATTCCTTCTACTGTGTTCTTCAAT